AGAAATCGTTACCATTAATTTCTTCTCAACTTCAACAATATGGACACAAACAAAAACGGCACTGAAACAGACCAAACCAAATCTGAAGGAGGAAAGGGAATGGAACTAAACCAATTGAACAGAGCCAAGTGAACCAAACCAATTGAACTAAAACAAACGAACCAGACCAGAATCGGTATAAATCAACCAAACCGAACCAGAATGTGACGAACCAGGCCGAATCGAACCTGACCGCCAATCGCCTTTACCCCTCTGGTTGTCGTGGGGAAGCACTTGGGGTTTCTGGTTTCAAAAAACACCTAATCCGGTTTGGTTCCAACCATTTGATTCATCTATTTTGTTTGGTTCAGGTGGTTTGGTCTGGTTCTGTCGTTTTGTTCAAATAAGTTCGCTTGTTTGTTATGGCTGAGAAGAAATCAATCGTAACTTCTGAGGTGATCCCAATGATATCAAAAATCACAGAACACAAGTTGAATGAAGCACGAATAGATTATTTGTCTAACAAGTTGGGCATGATTAACATATATGCACCAACTTGAGGGGGAGTGTTAGAGTATATATTAGTATATTTTATATTCTTGTATTAATATTAATTTGTCATTTACCTTCTCCTTATAGGATTAGGTCAACTTTGTATATTTGTCTATATATATAGACTTTAATAATGAGAATGCAAAATATTGGATTTTATCCAACCTTAGTCTCTACAGAAGTCAATTCTGAATTTTGTCATTAGAGGTTGGGGCACTTTTACTGTCTCTCGTTTGCCAAAAGCAATAAAATTGTCCAAATAGCTGCATAGTTCGATCTCTATTTAGAAGGGCACAAAATTATAGCTCCAAATCATGCTTCCTTGAAGCGTTATGAGATGGACATATATTGTTGATCTCAAACCATTACTGTTAATAATAAGAAAAAAGCACAGCTAAAAGAAAGTTTGAAGTAATAATGACCTGATATCACAGATCTACAAAATAAGAGAAAGACATCCAAAATGCACCAGGTGAGAATAGCACTAATTTCATCATAATTTCAATATAACCTCTTACCAAATGTTTCAAGAAACCGAAGTGCTTTCTCAAGGAAGGATGGACCTCCGTCAATATCTTCCAGTGCAAGTAAAATAGGTCTACCCACCACCAAAGATTTAACAGGACGCTTATCTCTCCCTGGATATAATTATGAAATATTGATGGATTACCATGCATATAACCCAAGCATGCAAAAAAGAATCAAACTAAATTGAAAGAAATAATTGCAAAATGATAGCAGAGTACAAACATGGATGGAAAGAACTGTCAATTTTGTCATTTGTGTCATTGCGAAAAATCCCATTATGTCCCATGACAAGAGCAGCACTTGGTGCTTGTGCAAGGGCTTGTTCAAGTGCCGTTCTCCATTCAAACAAATCATCCGACGTCTCAGCCTTTTTTGTAGGAGGCACAGGAACAGAAAGATTTGATTAATAAAAAATAATATAAAACAAAATATTCTATGCATATATGATATAAGCCTAAATAGAGCACCTTGAGAGTGAAAGCTCGTCCATCACGACCATCAGGAAACAATACAGTCAAGAGTTTCTTATCCTCTCTAACAACAACACTACATACATAGAGTTGCATTCGTAAGTTCAATAATACCAAATAAAATTTTAAAAATTCACCTTCATGAAGACCAACTTACCTCCCTGAATTATTCAAGTCTATGCCCCCCAAAGTTAGATTCACTTCACCCCCTCTTTGAGGAAGTGCAGTCTGTATACATAATAATAAAAGATATTTCAGTTGATATAAATGAATCACACTACATGAAGATCTAAATAAGTTAATATAGTTGCAAGCTAATAGGACTTGTATAAGAATCAACATTTATAGCAGAAGTCAATGAACATTAACTTATCGGAAGGTAAATAAGCTAAACTACAAAAGGGGGGAGATGCTACTGCCTTTTCTAAACAAGAAATCAAAACAGAAATTGTTCGAGGTTATAACCCCATAGGGAGTGAAAAGAAAACCAATAAAAATAACCAGCCACTCATGGCTTTTCCGGCAAACCCTCCGGTGAAGCACAAACCTCACCTTATCACCATTGAACGGAAACATTTCTCAATAACCACCGACCACCGTTTTCGGGGAAGTAGAGTTAGAATCTCTAAAACTTCTAAAGACAGGGCCTTCTTTATTTCATTACATTGGTCCACCCTCTCATGGCTGACGAACACTTTCTCCACTCTCCTCCCCCTCCCCCTTAATCTTAAGTTCTTTAAGGAGACACACACTGATGACCAAACTATTTGGGTTGAGAAGACAAGCAACCGTAAATGTATCATTGCAGAGATTGCAAAGCTTGATAACAATGGCGGCCTTAACAAGATCCTGGTCCCCGTTGGTGAAGATAGACAAGGTTGGAAGGCTTTCTTTAACCTCTTAAAAGACCCTTCTCTAGTACCTAACC